TCTCTCCAAGGGTTTGTCCTTTTTGTGGACCGTAGAAAACACTTCCTTGATTACCGTAATTTTCGGACTATAAGCCGCGCCTTTTTTCCCATTTTTCGACGCTGCAGCTTATGTAACGTTGCGGCTAATCTATGGATTTGTACAGCTAACGGCCACTAGGGGACCTCCTAAATCTATGGATTTTACAGGTTACAGTCCACCACCTTTAACTCTATGGCTCTATGGCCGGTCCGCGCCCCCCACCTTTAAGCGGCGGGTTCCAGCAGGAAAAGCTGGAGGCCGGAAAAGAGTGAGACAGGTAGCGCGCAAAAGTAAAAGTGGAACCGAGAGTGGTACGAGAGACAGAACGAGAGCAAGACAGACAGACATTACGAGAGCGAGACAGTTTGTCCCCGTACCACTGGTTGAAAACCACTGCTGTAGATCACTGCCGGTACGTGCGCTGGGAGCGCACCGTTTAAGTTTGAAAGTTGAAAAGTTTGTGTGTCTGAAACGCTATGTGATACAGTACAGTTTACACAGCACAGTACATGTTCTGTAGCTACTATTGCACTAAATGGTAACACTTGAATACGTTATGCAAATATGCAACTTGTTTGTTGAAATGTTAATAAATGGGAGCTTCCTCAAACAGCCATCTCTTTCCCGACAATCCCCTCTGTGCACGAACCCTTACATATGGTAATTAAACATTAAAACACCTGCGGCTTATAGTCCAGTGCGGCTTATATATACACATCATTCAATTTAGCTGCTGCGGCTTATATTCAGGTGCGCCTTATAGTCCGAAAATTACGGTATTTATTATAAATATGTAATTGTTTGTCTAGCTTTATGCACATCTGAGCATGCACGCTCTTTGACGTCAGCAGAGATGGAAAAAGTACTTACGCAGCGCCAACACAGCGGCGTGCGTTGAAGCTTGTCGGTGGGCGTGTCTGAAGCTCGACCAGCAACCAATCACAGTGATTGGTTGCTGGTCGAGCTTCAGACACGCCCACCGACAAGCTTCAACGCACGCCGCTGTGTTGGCGCTGCGTAAGTACTTTTTCCATCTCTGCTGANATATGTTTAACAAAATAAAAATAAAAGCTAAAACAAACAGTAATTTTCAATGGCTAAAACTTTGTGCTCCCCCCCCGCGTTGATAATTCACGATCGTCGGCACGCTGATAAAATGGCACTTCATATCAAAAAGGTTGCCGACCCCTGGGCTACACTGACCCCAACCACCTGAGGTCAGAGCCTAACATGACCCAATGAGGCTTCAGCTACTAGAACTCAAGCAGAGATGAAGAGCAGGTTCAGGTCTTGTTCAGTCTCTTCTCTCCAACTCCCAGATCAGTTCAAACTCTTCATGCAGCTCTCTCTGCAGACACACAAAGCTTTATACAACTATGTGTACATGCAGGAGCACTCCTATCAACATACTTTGATGTTCTTCTTTAGAAAACATGAATCAATAACATCGATCCTCTCGTCAGTACACAATCAAAACCAAGCCCATGAGTTCACATGCTCGCAGATTTACTAAATTCACAACAGAAAGAGCCGATATAATGATGTGTCTGACTTTGTTTCTTAATAAACGTTGAGTTAGGAGGACAGCATTAAAGTGAACCTGTGACGGAGCTGCAGAGCCTTTCCTCTCCTCAGAGAAAGTCACAACCTCAGGTGGACTGTGATTCTGGTGTATCACGTTACCATGGAGACAGCAGACATATGTTAGGAAAGATCGACCAAAGGAGCCAGTGACACACACACACACACACACACACACACACACACACACACACACACACACACACACACACACACACACACACACACACACACACCCCCTGAGGGCATGCAGGACAGGAAACTGTCAGGAGAAATCAGAGTCAACACTCTCCTCTTTCTCTGCGATTTTCAACTCCAGGATATCTCTCTGAAGGTTTAAGTACATAGAATCAAATCCACAGAAAGTGTGGTTAATTTATTCACTCTTGTATTCCCATCAGCCTTTGTGTTTACTGTTTATTAGTGCTTTGCTCATGTTTATCTTCATAGCTTTTAGCTATACATCAGTGAGTGTTTTGTTTCAGTCAGCGAGCAAAGAGAAATTCAGTCCCAGCAAGCCTCCTTTCTTTTCCCAAAATATTTAAAACACCCACTCATCTATCCTTTTTAGTTTCATATTCATTTCATTGCTCTCAGCTCTCTCTTACACACATGGAGAGCCACACACACACACACACACCCACGGAGAGCCACACACACACATGGAGAGCCACACACACACATGGAGAGCCACACACACACATGGAGAGCCACACACACACACACACACACACACACACACACACACACACACACACACACACACACACACACACACACACGATCTTACCGTTATTTAATAATACAAAACGCATATTGCACTGGATACGATTTAAAACGAAATACTGACAAAGAAAAAGAAAAAAACAGAAACATTTGATCACCCCCTGCAATATAAGTAATAAAGCCCTATTCTCTGCATATTTGCAGATGGATTTGCAAAACTAACAGATCTGTGTGCATATCAAACACTTGTCTCAAAGAAGGCTTCTGCCACAAATTGAAACTATCGTCATTTATTTTTGATGTATATCTTTTTTTATTGTATGATGTTTTGATCACAGCAGTGTATGTTCAAGTATTCTCAACATTCAAGTTGGTTTTAATAAGTTATGTCATATTGTAGGGGTGAATGTAATGATTGACAGCTTATCTGAGTGAAGCAGGCAGCAGAGGGGTTGTACGAGAGGAGATGTAACTTCACTTTCCCTAACAGTCACTGTGTAATAGAACATGTTTCAATGTATCATGAATGTACTTAGTGGAGTTAATATGGTTTGTTGTTGTCTCTCTAACGAAACAGCTACCCTGGTGCTAACGTAGCAGCTAGGTTGCTCATGCTAACAAACGGTGGCCTTCTTATTGGCTAAATTGACTGGATATTGTCAATGCCACTTCAATCCCCAAATGCACCAAATTCTGGATCACATGTTGTTAAAAACAGTCTGTGTTTTGGTTCAATAAATACAAAAGATATGGATTCAGGTGTCCTTCCAGAATAAGTGCAGTTTTTTTGTCAATAAAACAGAATGACAGTTAGATGAGATGTAGGCATATCCTGTTCTCTCACTGTCCTTATTTTTAAATCATCTCTTATTGATTTCTTTCTTATACCTCACTCACTGGGTGTCAATAAAGTTGCTGTGCAGTGACTGCCACTCAGTTTAAAATGACCCCACTCATTTCCCTTTGCTCTATAATCAATAAAAGAAATGGTTTAAGACGAAAACTATTTTATCAGCCTTTATCATTTCAAGTAGCTGCCACTCTGCCTATTACACATCACAGTGGAGTGCCATTAAGTCTGATTGGTCAGAAATTGAGAGTGTGTGAGAGAGAGCCATAAACCTTTCTGGCTGCAGCTCCTTAAACGCTCCCGTGGCCCGAGTCTTATTGGCTCTGCCGCCAGAAGCAACCCTGACGGTCAGAGTTATTTTAAAATTAAGCTATAACAGACAAATGACTCAACCATTCAAGCAGTGATGGCTTACACTGTCTTAAACACACACACACGGACTCGTGGGCAAACACACATTTTTGTGGCGTTAATCATCTCCAAGTGGCTGATAAAACAAAGACAGGTCATTAAGACTTGGCAGTGTTCATAAACTGTACTTAATTAACTGTCCTCTTCCTTCTCCCACTCTCATACAGACACACAGTATCTTTGTATTTTTCAAAAAACACACTTATTTCTTCCTTAAGCTATAGCAATTTGTTAATATATATTCTGCTCTTTCCACGCATCACGTCCCCTCCTCCATCCCTCCATACATTCTTTGCTTTCCCTCCATCTGTCTGTGGTGAGAAGGTTGACAGTTAATTGGGAGTATGTTTTAATGAGCTGGCCCTGAGATTCTATCTCCTCCTTTCATTAGGAAGGGAAGACAGGGGGGAGAGAGAGTCAAGGAAGTGAAGGATGAGCGAGAAAGAGAGCAAGGGGAGGAGGAAGGAAAAAAAGGAAAAGAGAGAAAAGTCCACCGCTCGATAGAGAACGTCTAGAAGTTTCCAATCGGCGCAGTGGAGAGCACGGCTAGGTGTGTGTGTTTGTTAATGAGATAATCAATAGCAGCGATGTGTAAGCCCAGCAGTGGGTCTGCTTTGGGAGAATACTTACAGAAACACACAACTTGTAAGAGCTGTTTGTCTACACTCTGCTGTGTTTTCTAAACCACTCTGACTAAACCTGAGTTGCTCAACTGTGGTTCCTCAATTTCAAGTCTTTATCGAAAAAATTCACCGCTTCATTTGAGCTCCATCTGTCTCCAGCCAGCATTATTTTATGGAGAAAAATAAATCACAATTGTTCAATGTCAGATTGATTTTTAGGACCCAGTGTTTATCTGAACATATAAATTGGTAAATGTCAATGTCGTAAAAAAACAAAACAGCAGTGCCTTCCTCTCCTTGAAACTTCTAAAAGAAAGATGTTGAAATAACTCAGCGGAGGTGTTTATGTGGCTGATTAGCAGAGCCTCATAAATACCTAATCACTGATGCTAATCAGCCCTCTCACCTAGGGGTGAGCAAAGAATATAAATTACACACATACCCCTGTGGACTCAACAACACCAACTTCCCCTGGCATAATCATTCTGTCAACAGAGCCATTTTAACATAACATAGCATTAATGCTTTATTAACTGACAAACAGAGATCTAGCTATGTCTAAGTAGCTTCTGAAAAGTACAAGTTCTTGTTTGCACTACTTTGAAAGAACCACACAGTTGCAGTCGACTTTGAATCCCACAACATTTGATCTCCCACCGCTCAAAGGGCGGCTTTAACACACATTCTCACTTCTGACTTTATTATGTTAGGTGCTGTTTACACGAGAACGCAAACGGTTGTATCCGCTACTTTTCTCTTTCGTATAGCCCGTTCGTTCACACTAGACCGAAACGGAACCGCGGAAACTGACCCCGCAAACGATAACGGGTCCCAAGCTGGATAGATCTGCAAACGGAACGCTCTTGGGGGCCAAACGGCTCAGAGTGTACGCCCTATACGATCATTTCCTGATAACGATGAAGCCATAGCCCCGCCTCTCCCCACCTCTGCTGCTCACTGCTGTAGCATGGTCAGTAGCATATGTACTACAGCGTCTCCGGCGCTTTCATGTGAACGGAAGACTTTTTTTATTGTATTCGGTTTGTTTGCGTTTCGTATGCGTGTAAATGGGGTCTTAAACGGATCAAAAACAAAAGTGTGGATTCGAAGTTTACCAATGTATGTGAAAAATCTAAACGTTTTTATGATGCCATGGGGGGTGCGCATCTTAATGAACAACAACAAAAGTAATGCTGAAATAAACAGAATGTAGTCATCATCATGTAAAAATGCATATACTGAAGTACAAACATATAGCAACTTGCATTAAATGAGATCATCTCATGGATATTTTACTTGAGATCCAGATATCACTAAAATAATAATAAATTATATTTCTATAGCGCTTTTATTGAACCCGAAGACGCTTTACATTTGGGAGGGAGGGTAGACCAAAAAAAAAGGAAAAAAACAAAGAAACAAAACAAAACAGAAAAGCAGTCAGGAGGAAGTTGGTTGGCACTAATATGTGTTTTACTGCTCAAGTCTTGCCAAGATGGAGAATTAAATATTGTATTGTATTGTATTTTGTGTTGAGTTTGAGAGGAGAAAGGTCAGGGATCACTTTAGTTCTCCATCTTGAATTGTTCATTCATGTTATATAGAGCAAAGTGGGTGAACAACACTGAATCTGAAAGCCAGTGGAAATTAGTATTATGGACCTGAAAATTAGCCTCGCTCTTGTTCAAATAATTTGGTACCGACCCTCAGGTTAAATGCTCTGTCAGCACTGTTGAAGTTGTTAGCGCTGTTAGCTCTTGGCCATGTTGAGAGCTGTGTTAATTTAACAGTTGATTAGTGAGAATATATATATATATATATAGCAGACAAAAGAATAAAATAATTGTTTTAAGTTATTATCGTTGAGACATTGTTTCTGAATCAGCTGAACACTGAATAAGCATTTAAGGCTTTTTAAGGATGAAATGTGAGGAAATGATTCTAAATGACATCCTCCGAGCTAAATTAGTGTGTCTGTCTTCCATCTCTGCTGAGACTCACTCAGCTTTGAATGAGGAAAGAGATACTCATTTGACAATTTTAACTTGAAATATTTCAATTACCAAATGTTAGAGCCGAAATGTGAAAGCGAATAAAGGATGAAGAAATTATTCCAATGAGTGTGAGACATAATGAACGCCTGAGAAGAGAGAGGGAACGTGACAGTTGCAGGTTAAACAGCTTACACCATAGGAGGGGGATTTGGCTGCCTCTGCTAGAGGGGGATATTAGCAGGATTATCTGGCAACCCTGTTGCTGGGGTGAATAACATTAGAATCCTATTTGTAAAGACTCCTCTGCTTCCTGTCCACAATCCTCCATTTACTCCACACTTACATCCTACAATTAGTCCACTTACGTTCTCATAACCCCAGATGAAACTCTCACACACGCGTGTAAACAGCATGTTATGAACGTTATGTATATTGTAGGGCTGACATGTTAATGCTCAAGATTCATTTGGAAACCTTATTGGGTTAAAAAATGTACGAAAAAAGAATCAA